ACTGATTATTAATTATTTATCCAATGTTGATGATGCAATAGCATACATCATTAAATCTATGTTTCCTGCAAGAAAAAGAAAGTGAACTGCAAAAGTTGAATTTCATTTCAAAGGCACTTTAGGGAGACATACCTTTGCTGCTGTAAGGCTTTTCTCACTGCCTGGGAGAACTGCTATCCCTTTTACGTAATTGAGTCTTGTAATAATAACCTTGACTGATTTACTGAGTAACAGCACAACAGATAGTATGTACAGATTTTATTAGAAATCATAATATAAAATGTTGCAAATAGAATTGGTATTACCCTTTATGCAAACTGATTAATTTAAGATATATTAAAATTCACTGTAGAATAATAATTCTTGGAAGTTACTATTTATGTATGAATGGGTGGCTTTACAAACCTTTATTATACTCTCTTAGAAAGAGCTGTAATTTTTATGTTTAAATCTGTTTTAATAACTTAAACTGGGTTTGATGCTCTGTTACTTTCTGTTGAAAAATGCCAAATGTAGTCAAAGTTTAGAGACATACAAGGGATTACTATTTTTCTACTCTAGTTGGTCATGATAAAGTATGATGGATGAAGTTAAAATTAGCAACCAGTTAAATATTGCATCACATTGGTTTAGTACAAATGTAAACATTTGAGAAATTTAGTTCGGGAAAATGCCAGAATAATATCTAAACAGTAGATGTCTACAGAGATGTTTTTAGTGAGAATTTTGGGTATACAGGTGAATTTTAACAATTGTGTAGAAATCATATTTAGGTTTCTACATGTTCCTCTTATGATCATTATTAAGAAACCTAGACAAGTTAATGAAGCAAAGAGGTACAGTTAACCCACTTCGCTACTGAGATTTTTGTACCCCTCTTTCTCAGGTAGAGTAAGCTAAGAATTTCTTAAGAGGTAGCTCCAGACTTTAGCATAAGGCTTCAGAGCTTTTCAGGTTCCTCCTAAATGACTTTGATTGACATGTATTCCTTGGAAAATGGAAGCTTGTTTGTTCAGTATTAATTTTATTTCAGTTCATCTATTGATAACCATTATGAACAGTTATTGTTCTGAGATGTGCTTTACAAATTCTTATTCTATGGATATGTTCTTTTTTTCCTTTTTTTCCCTTCATTTCTAATCTCTTTTAGGCCATATTACTGTATGGATAATCATTAGTGTGAGCAAAAGATGTTGCTTTAATTGTCGTTTTGCCTGTGTAAAAAAAATGATTACTATGTGTCTGTGTGCATATATGACTGATAATGATTACTGGAATAGCCTTGGCATGATCCCCAATCAATTTTGAGTGTATTTCAACACATTATACACTGCACTATACCTTTATATCATGCATCTTGTTCACCATGCAAGTCACTTTGTACAATACATGCACACTTTTCCTTCACTGTTCTACTGTACTTTTGTTAAGCACATCCATATTAGTAAATTTCCTAATAGATAGACAGCATTTTCAAGGTGCATTGGAATAGCAAACATGTGTGATAAGAAAGGGAGGGGCTTGAATAATTAATGGATCAGTGTAATGTATACTATTTATTTTAAAAGTTATATGATAATATTTTAGATAGAGAAAACTATAAAGAGCTACATAAAGAGAGCACTAGTGTAATCTGTAAATAGAAAGTGGAATCTCACTCTATTATATTGTTAAAATATTAAAGTAATCTTGTATGATAAGAAAATAACAACTTTAAAGGGTTTTTAAAAACCCGGTTTTGATAAAGCCTTTCACAAAGACTTTATTCAGCAGATGCATGTGACTATCATTTCACCTGAATCAATAAAAATTGAATTCCAAAAAAATTGTTTGAAAGGAGTTAAAAAGGCACTTTCGTAGTATCCAATTTTTAACATCATATTGGATACTAAAATAACTAATGAGTTTGGCACAGCATATGCCTTTCCAGTGATAAGCACTATTGTGATAATTTGATTTTAAATATAAATGCTATTGATTTTGGTTGATTCTGGAAATACCATCTTGGGTCTCAATTTCTCTTCAGTCTATATATTCAACTTGGATAAGTATTGTATTTTTATATTATATATTATGATATTTTTATGATTCTTATTAAGCTTTAAACTTTTTATGATTCTTATTAAGCTTTAAACTTAATTTGTGATACATAATGTTAATCTTCAGAATATGTTCTCCCTTAGATTATAGCAAAGAATGGGCTAATTTATGGCAGATTCATATGCAGTATTAATGATGATATCTTAAATGTGCATGTAAAAAAGCCTAACTTCAACATGCAATTGTAATTAATATTGAAAGTCTACAACAAAATGTTATACAATAATCAAATGTGCAAACTAATATCCATGTCTTCTAATCTGTAAATTTAAAGCTCTAAAATCCAGTCCTTCATGAACATATTAGCAAGTATTAATCAAATTTAAAGGATACTCAAACATGAGCAGTGTATTGGGTATCCAGACACAGGTGCAAGTACAGTGGCCAATATTTTTTTCAG